ATGCACGTTGAACGCACACCTTGTGCAACCTTTTACGGTTTAATGACCAACTTGTGATATCTTCCGCTTTTTTAATGATTACCACACGATCGACGTGCGTGTGACATATCACGTTTGATGACGTTTTGAGCGCCCAAGTGTGCGGCTGTAGAAGTGTAAATAGATGTCTTAATTGCTGGAAAATAACGCCATGCGCTTTCTTCAATAGTGCGAGCAATAATTTAGTTCTGGAAAAATATTTATATAGCGATACATGTCAATGCCTCCTTTATTATTGGAATTGTTTTCGTATTACGACGCTGGGTCATCGGGGAAGCGATATACACTGATACCATCGGCATAGCTCGATAATCTATACAGCATCAGAAAACGCAGAGCGGAATGTGCCATGCAGCGTATACTATGTTTACTGAGTTCCGTGCAGCAGAGCCAAGGCTACGTTACCCTAAGAGCAGGTTGTTGCGAAGCGAGATGTAGCGCCCATTTTCGGAACCCGTTGTTTGTACTCGCAAGTGGTCTTGTCGGAAGAATTATGCCATGCAGCGTATACTATGTTTACTGAGTTCCGTGCAGCAGAGCCAAGGCTACGTTACCCTAAGAGCAGGTTGTTGCGAAGCGAGATGTAGCGCCCATTTTCGGAACCCGTTGTTTGTACTCGCAAGTGGTCTTGTCGGAAGAATTATGATCGACACATGTGCCAACCATAATTTAATGTATGTTCGTGCATGTGTTGATATGTGCGTGCGTGTATACATACACGTACAAACAAAACAAAAAAAAAACACTTTCGGGCTAGTGGTTTGAATTCCTCCGCCTCCTGGCTACGCCAGTGCCACGAATGATTAGCCCTTTCGTACTAAATGGAACGCGATAGGTTACTCTCGCACTCAGTAGCACCGGATTTACAAAGGGACAAATGTTTTCTTTGTGTGTCTATCGCCCGGCACAGATTTAAATATCTCCGACTGGAAGTCCTTCACGTGTCCTTCGGTTTCTCGAGCCTGTATTGCGGCCCGATGCGGTAATCCCTTTAAAATACCCTTTCTCGTATTCCTTTGTCTCTTGTCCGCTTCGAGCAGAAAACAAAGCACCGCCATCAGAGAAAGAAGCCTGCGCTAATGGCTTTCTGAATACTCGGGGCTGCGCCTCGGCGGCTTTAAGCCCGCGTGCGCACGTCCATCTAACTCCGCGTCGACGCGATCATTGAGAACGTTGCGTCGGCCGCAAGCCCACAACTTGGATACGCTGCGTGCCGTGCGCGTTGCCGCCGTCCGCACCGCAGCCGAACGTCGTGCCGATGGGAGGAAGAGCGCGGAGAAAGCGCGAAGAGACGAATCGACAAACAAACAACCAAAAGAGCCACAAACTTCGATGATGACGGCCCGCGGGAAAGAAAATGGCAGCGCTTCGACTGCGGCGCGCCCCGACGGCGTTCGGAGCAGCTGCAGCACGGCGTCGGGCCGTTAACCCTAATCATTCTTGGTCAGAAAATGATGCCGACGCCGTCGCAATACCCTTCCTGCCTCCGTCGCTCCTCCGGTTCTCTCCCCCAATCGCGAGTTTGAGAAAGACAACGTGACGTACGTCGACATGCGCTGCAAGTCGCGCGCGAGCGTATCCAAAAGCCTATAGCGCCGGTTGCGGCCACGGCATACAGTAACATAGCCTCGGTGGTTTCGCACAAGGGCCGCGTCGTGGGCTGGGAGGAAGGAGAGCCGCTTTTTTTCTCGGCGACGGCAAATACGACCGGCGCCGCTGTACAGAGCGTCGACCGTCGGTGGTTGATCGTCGCGAAGTGTGAGCGGGGAAATTAGCGTCGTGCGCCCGGATGTCGCCACCGAGCGCAGTGCATCAACTTGACGATTGGTGGAAAGGAGGCTTGCCTCATTTCCGGTTACACAACAGTCCTATAGGGGCCTACGCTCCCCGGTAATCCGATGATGCACGCTGCAGTATTTCTATTTCACTGTCTGCATTGTTACGCGTGACAGTAACATTTCCAGGATGGTAGATGCCGTCCGCACTCTGAGCTATGACATCGGATGGCAAGACTGAGACCTAGCTATGTACATAGACCCACCAACAAACGTTTCACGATACTTGCGCAAGATACGGCGGGCAACAATATCGGCCTCTGAATGAAAATTTCAGCTCTAATATATACAGGTTTCATTTCTATATCAATTGCATCATCTACAATGTGCACTGGTTACGTCGCTTGACGGCACGTCTGAAGCTAAACGCATTCGTAATTATGCCACTAGTTCGTAATTATGCCACTAGGGAGGGGGGGTGCTAAATTCGCCCCATACTTTATTGACTTAACAGGGAGTGTAGCAGCTTCAACTAGTTGGTATGACATGACAATAGTTATAGCGCGAGAACAGAACGACGACAAAGAGACAAGAAGGACACAAGCGCTAACTTTTAACATAGTTTATTGCGCAGAGCGCGAAAACATATAGAGGAGACAGTAAAGCATGTACAAAGAGCAATAGTAAAAATGGGGAAAAAATTGGCAGATTCCACGTACAGTGGGAGTCAATCATATGCGAAACACGAATGAGAAAGGTTTATATTCCACTTTAAAGTCAGCAGAACGATACAAGGTGGAGGTAAATGAAGCCGTACGTGACTTCCGTTTCATGATTATCATGTTTGGATGTGTCGTTTACCTTAGTGATCTATTCACGTCACGTGATACCAAATTTATTATGTGTGGTGCTAGCGAAACGGCTGCGAGCCCGCTATGAGCGTGGTATGTTGTCACGTTCTTACACGACACGCGTGTCAGGATTATCATGCTTGCACCAGTAATATACTTTCGTCATCCATTGACGTCACGTACCACCAAAGTTGGTATATGTGGAGCTAGCAAAATGGCCACGAGGGCACACCGGACGCGCTGAAACTCGCATGCGTCAAAGCAACTCAGCGCGGCACGCGCCTGCGATGGATGGATGGATGGATGTGGCTGTACCCTTTAGATCGGGCGGCGGCTATCGCCACCTAGCCGTGATACTTAGTGAACTAACCATTACATTTATCTTTTTTTTTCCCTTTAAATAATGAAGTTGAGGATTCGTACTTGAGGATTCGTACTGCGAGTATATGGCAGGAACGCCACCTGGTGTGGCAACGCTAGCGTGACGTCACGAAACTAACGCCGGCGAGCACGCGCAACGCATCACGTCGAAATGCATTGGCACCTTGACTGTGGCATGTAGTCATGTTCTCACATGACACGCATCTCATGATTATCATGTTTGCACCAGTCACATACTTTCGTCATCCATTGACGTCACGTAATACCAAATTTGGCATATGTGAAGCTAGTGAAACGGCCACGAGCGCATCATGAGTGTGGCATGTAGTCATGTTGTTACATGACACGCATGTCGTCAATATGATGTTTGGATGTGTCATTTACCTATGTCGTCCGTTCGCGTCACGTAATACCGAGTTTGGTGAACGGCCGCGAGTGCATCATGAGCGTAGCATGTAGTCATGTTGTTACATGACACGCATCTCATGTTTATGATGTTTGCACCAGTCACATACCTTCGTCATTCATTCACGTACCGTAATAGCAAATTTGGTATATGTGACGCTAGTGAAACGGTCGTGAGCGCATCAAAGCGTGACATGTAGTCATGTTGTTACATGACACTCATGTCATGATTTTCATGTTAGGGTCCACCATCGCTTGTGTTCGCCATGCAATCATGTCATACCATGCCAGTTTTGCAACATGCAATGTGAACGAAAGCACCGCAAGAGCTGCAGGACCATGGCATTTAAATCATGACATTCATGACATACGTGTCATAATTTCCACGTTATGACTAGTCAAATATGTTCTTCATTCAGCCAAGTTATGTCATACCAAGTTTTGTATCGATGCCATCATCGAAACAGCCAGGATAGCTAAAAGTCATATGCGGCTAGATAGACAGATAGATACGCTCAAAGTCGCCGAAGTTCGCAAATAAATGATTGGCATTTAAAAACAAAAGCACAGAAAAGGGCAACGAAAAGTATATATAGAAACGAAACAGAAAAGTAAAAGTAGTATAATTACTTGCACGCACCGAAACCTTCGAGGAACCTTTTAGTTCCTTCTCGGACAGGGCACGGAGGGCTTGCTAATGCAAGGCACCTGTTCGCGTGCCATCTGCGCGGCCTCGACGATGACTCGGGTGCGCTCATCCCTGTGCTTGTACAGCGTCACTGTGTCCTTGAAAAGGAACTTCATTGGAAGCGACACTGCCTCTGCGCAAAGCTTGAAAAGGGGCACACAGTTGCACTCAGTGCAGTGCTGAGCAAGAAAACCATCCTTCCCGTTTCTAACATTGTTAGCTCTCCGTCGATCGTTTAGACACCTTCCCATCGTTCCGACAAAACAAGCACCGCAGGAAAGGGGGGTCCTATAGACAACTTTCCGCCATTGCTCTTTGTGCCACATGTTTTTGTCACATGGTTTACTGTCTCCTCCATATGTTTTCGCGCTCTGCGCAATAAACTCAGTTGGGAGTTAGCGCTTGTGTCCTTCTTGTCTCTTTGTCGTCGTTCTCTTCTCGCGCTATAACCATCGTTAACAGGGAGGGCTGCGCCAAGCCCCTTACCGGGCTGCAGAAATTAGGCACCTTCCTCCTCTTCTAACCACAGCCACTACCACCACGCTGCGGCTGCGACGAACCTCTCAACCCATTCCCCTCATTCTCAGCCCCTACTCCCCCCCCCCCCCCCCTCAATGGGAGACCCTCCGCACGCCAAAGACGGGCGCGAGTGAGCCGCTGGGGGATAACGTGAAACAGTTTTTTTTTTTTCTTTACAGAAGCACCCTTGCCTACACGAAAGGAAAATGGCACTCCCCATTCTACTGGTTCCCAAGTCACGCACGTTTCTAGAGCACTGCGCCGTGCTCCCTACCCGGCTGCCGAAATTAGGTGCCCTTTTCCTCTTCTAACCACTGCGACCGCCACCATTCAGTTGTCTACCCACTCATTGTGGTGGTTGGGAAATGATTGTGGTGGTTGCTTCTTTGGAAGGTGCGAGTCACCCCCGCCAGGCAAACAACCTGTCTGGCTGACGGCGCCGCATATTTCAGCCCAGCCTGCTACAAAGACCTTCACCCCTTCGTCCCCCATCGTTCCCTTTCGGCAAAAGCGTTGTGAACATTTCACTCAGTAGCTTCCGTCGTTACCTTTCCCCAAAAGCTTCCAGAGCTAGAGCATTAGTTAACGTATCAAAACTACTGCGCACGTCTTTCGCTTCTAATTTTGTCACACCAAAAGGCCCGACGCCGCCCCAGCTAGCGCAACACTGAAAGCACCCAATAAGACATGAGTAGCACGCGTACCAAGACGCAAGAACAAGCAATGAGGCAAGGATTCTGGTCATTTTGCTTGTTTGGCACTTTTCTGTAATCACGAAGGCAGCGCCCCCGCTGAGAGTGGCGCCGAAATTCAGAAAAACGAAAACACGATGTTGGTAGTTTCTTCGCTTCGACTGAGTGAACACACGTGTCATTGTGAAGTGTGCAGTATTGGTCGGCGGTGAATGCCGCTAGTGGGTGCTTGTTTCTTTTGTGTGTGGACAAAGATAGCATGAAGACACCGGCGAGCCTGTTCAAGTGATTTCGGTGTTCAAAATCAGGTGAGTGTGATGGTGTGAGAAGCGATAGACCAGCTTCGCGTGATTGCATATGAACGCCGTGGTAGCTATTTGGTGTCATGGATGACAGCTTCTCGCTGTCATAAATATTTTTCGCGGCCTCATCACAAATAGTTGCATGACGAGTAACTTACTGGGTGTGCTAAAATGTTTCTCGGGATTTTTCGTTTTACCTGCTGCAATTTTGTGCTAATGAGTGGTTACCGTGCGAAATCCGCCGCTATTCGGTGGTACGCGTTTTCATTTCTGGCCATGCCTTTCAATTTGGATTTGGGAACTGCCTTTGTCGTACGTATCAAGCGTTTGACGTTCACGCCTGGAGCACCTTTCTTAATTATCTAGTTGGCATTCTACAGTTGCAACAATTTTAAGCCAATACACGAACGGCTTGCCCCGCCGTGGGGGTCTAGTGGCTAAGGTACTCGGCTGCTGACCCGCAGGTCGCGGTATCGAATCCCGGCGGCGGCGGCTGCATTTCCGATGGAGGCGGAAATGTTGTAGGCCCGTGTGCTCAGATTTGGGTGCACGTCAAAGAACCCCAGGTGGTCGAAATTCATGGAGCCCTCCACTACGGCGTCTCTCATAATCTTTTGGTGGTTTTGAGACGTTAAACCCCACTTATCAATCAATCAATCAACACGAACGGCTTGCTGTGCGGGTTGCGCGGTGTGTTGTTGCTTGTCTGTATGTAACGGTCGCTTACTGCGTGTTGACATGTTGAATCGAGATATACACTTTATTTTATTTTAACATAAAATTGAGGTAGCTTTATATCTGGTTTACCCTCTTTTTTTTTAATTTTCTTGCAGACTCACGAGTCACAACTTCAGAGCTGAAGCTGCAATTTGGGCCAGATACGTGAAACATGAACGTCGGACATTTAGGGACCCCATGCCGAAGGACAATCGCTCGAAGATTTTGTAGCACGCCAATCAGGACATCTGACACCGCGGACAGTGAAGTGGCTGATGGAGACGTTTCCTCTTTTCTTTCCACCTTAGACAGTTTTGTGGAACAGTGCGACAGTTTCCTTCCTGCATGCCCGCAAGTCACATCTGAAAACGATGCTGCTGGAGTACGTGTAGAAGATGGGGAATATGCTTCTGGCAACGCAAGCTGCTCTCGTGAGTATTGTGAAGGACAAAGCTTGCCGGTGCGCGCATCTACCGCTCCGCAAGGTAACTGCGTAGAGGATGACAGAATAGGTCCTTTTGGAGATGCTGATGACGTTCTAGCTCTCAGTCGTGAAGATGAGTGCATGGAAGATACCCTGTTGGAACAATATTCCTCGTCTTCTCAGAATTCGACTTGTTCCTCAACTAGGGCTTGTAAGGGCTCCATTGAAGATGCCAATGAAACTCTGGCCCTCAGCAGTGAAGATGAGTGTACAGAATCAACCAGGTTTAAACAATATGCTTCAGTTTCACAGCATTCAGTTTGTCCCTTAACTAGGGTTCAGTGCAGTGAACAAGGCTGTGGTCTCGGTCAGGGCAGTGAACATAATGACGAGCATGTGTGCAGGCAGCATGATGCCAATTTCGTAATCCTTAGCGAGCTAAATTGTGAGGATTCCTTGTCTTCATCACCAGATGCGCATACACATTTATTTGATCAAGAAAGTTTGCTTGTTTCTGAGAATTATAGAGCAAAAACAACAGAGCACCATTACAGACAGCAGTATAAAAGCTTTCATGGCAGCTGTGTAAAATCAGTGAATTTTGCAAGTGAAACGTATCAACAGGAACCTAAAGCTGGGGAACTGAGCCATCAAACCTGTACTCGCACAGAAAGTGCGTATGAAAGCAAAACGTATTCCGAGGCTCCTCAGGCGAACAAAAGCAAGCAGCAGTACGACCCATTCAATGCAAGTTGTCGGGTGCAGAATGCTAGCGTTTCCTGCAGCTCCGTCTGCCCAGAAAAACTGGAAGAGCAGCAATATCCGGAGTATGTAGGAAGTTTTAATGAAAGTTGTGTCATGGAGGATGCTTCGACATTTAAGAAATATGAGGATGAACCATTTAAAGCAGAAAGTTTTGATGAAAGCTGTTTTATAGTGGATGCTTCCATGTTTAAGAAATATAAGGATGAACCATTAGAGGCAGGGAGATTTGATGACAGCTGTATTATGGAAAATGCATCTACGTTTAAGAAGTATGATGATGTAGAAGAGATGAGAGCTAAAGAGTACGCACAAGGGTACAATGACAGTGGTGTCATGAATGATGTTTCTGTACCAAAAACAGATGCTACGACAAGGGAGAGAAATTTAGCATGTTCAGATAGCTTATGTCATATTCGTCAGAGCAAAGATAGCTGTGTACCTGGAGGACACGTGGTAATGCCTTGTGTGAACAAGTTGGCTGAACAAGTTGCACAATGCCCCACAATTTCTTCTCCTCAAGGAGTTCTTGTGCCTGATCAGAAAGGACTGTACGAATATAAGACTCAGTGTAACAGTGCTTATACACTGAACTCAAGTCCACAGCCTTCAGGCTCCCTTGGTATCTGTGAGAATACGTGTATGGGTGACAAACCAGCATCACGTGTCACGCCTCACGAACAACGTGGTAACCTGGCATCTGTTGAATCATTAGAGGATGTCGCTTCAGAAATCTCTAGGAATTTGTTGCGTTCAGAAGAAGCCGATAAGGCAAGTGACATCACACCGAAAAATTGCACTGTTGGTGAAAAACCTGAGCACTGCTTCTCGATTCAGGACCTCGCAGTTTCAAGTGAGCGAGTAGCTAGCGATGCGATTTTAAAACAACACTTAGAACAACATGCCAGTGCTAACAGCCCGGCTTATTTCACAGATGTTGTGCAGTCTGTCCAAGATATCTGTACCACTAGTTCATTATGTCATGAGGACATTGTGCAGGCAGTGCCAAAGTTTGAGGAGGCAGATAAAAAACCATTGGCTCCTTTGTCAGCAGCTAGTAATGATTTTGCAGCTTCTTCAAGTTTTACAGAGCATAAGCTTAAAAGCAACAGCATTGAGAGTGTTGCCGAGAGCAGTGAAAACATTGAAATTGTTGTTCTTCCGGGACCTAACTCTAACAAAATTGACAGTGTCGCTGCTGTAGACAAGGAGTGTAAGGAAACTTCAATGGCAGAGTGTTCTACCTCCAAGCCTGTGTTTCAATTGGATGATGGTCTGCAGTCCGAAGATATCTGTGAGGAAATTGAAATTTCTGATACTACACTGGTGGACGAAGCTGATGGAGCTGGAACTGATGGTGATACCTTCGTTCGTGAAGTGCAGTCACCTGTGGCATCACCAAAATCGGTAGAAGACCTCCAGCTAGTGCCACTAACTGCTGATAAGCCAAGCATGCTTCCTCTATCCAGCACTGGGGCATCTGGAGATGTTCTAGACCTGGATGTTGACACTGATGACACGCTTGTTGGTGAAGTGCAGTCACCTGTGCTATCAGTAAAATCTGTAAAACATTGCCAGCCAGCTTTGAAAAATGCAAATTCCTCAGTACCAGACGTGCCAGGACAACCATGTACAGATAAATCAGAGTGTGTCCTTCCTTGGGATTCTCCAATTCCCTCTACAGACACAAGCAGCCTTCCCCTGTGTGCACCTGTACCCCCTCTACTGGTATGTACATCAAGTGACGATGAGATATACATTCCTGAAGCTTTGGACATGCGTGAGAAACTAAACACTATTAGGCGAGGACTCGAACAGCACAAACCTGAAGGTCTAAATGCTCATTCGAGCTCCATCGTGCCGACCGATTTTAGCTCAGAACCACATTTGCCCATTGTGACGGCCCCAGAGACAAAAACCAGAGCCCCATTCACTAGTGAAGATCCCGCCGAAAACATGGACAACGAAAATCCAGATTGGGAAGCCGTTCGTCGCCTGACGACGGATGAGGAACGATACCAGGCAGTCCAAGCAGTCTGGCACAACGTTGAGATTCCAGACCCCCACAAAGAGCTGTCAACGTTCCACTATCGACAACGTACATTGCGCCTGAAACGTGCAAAAAAGAAGAACACGCCTTCCAAGTCTAAACGCCGAAAGCGCAAGGCATCACACAGCTCCCACAACGACCATTGTAGTAAACCAGCCAAGCGCCAGCGTTTGGACACAGACATTATTGACCTAAAGTTAAAGGAACTGAAACGAAAAAGGGAGAGGGATGTTACAAAAGTGCAAGAAACATTCAACGATGATATCAGGCAGCTCCACACGAGTTTGAGGACCCAGCAGGAGACGTACGCCTCACACGACCACGACGGGCGGTCTGACAGGCACCATAGGAGAGCGCACACAGAGCCATGGGACCTCCGCTACTTTTTGTCGCAAGAGCAGAGGATCTGTGAAGAGTTCAAAGCCAACGCACAGAACATAGAGAGTGAGTACATGACCAGGGAGCACAAACTTCTCAGCGCCAGAGAAGAAGTTCGGCGCGTCGACGATTTCTACGCTGGTCTGAGGGATAAAGACCCGCGACTGCTCTCCGAAAAACAAGTCAAGGAACACTTCAAGCTTGAAGAAATGCTGGGTCATTTCAAAATGGTTTACAGGGTACCGAATGAATGACTGCTGATGCTGGCGTGCCAGTGTGCTCTTAGAATGTTGATAGAAATGTGCAATGTGAAATGGTGCAATATACCTAATTTGGTTCCTGATTGTGCAATGACATCTGAAGCAGTGCTAGTAGCCAGAGGCTTAGCATTTTTTTATTTTTCTTATCGAAGTCATTTTTTTTTTCTTTTCGTTCAGTTTGTTAAATAAAGCATCGAATCATCACATCGTTTTTGTTCCATTTGAATGTTGCATATTAATACGACGCCGTTGCTGGCAGTATATTTCTATATAAAGAGAGGTTCAAGCATGGCCTTAGATTAACTGCACTCTCAGAACTATCGTGCATTGAGGCGTTGATTCTCAGAGGCGCAGTTTTATTCGTTCATCTGACGGTTTCATCTATCGCACCTGACTTAAATTACGCGCTCTTTATGGGTAGCTTGAATTTCGATTTCGAAGCAACTGCGCGACTGCAAAAAAAAAAAAAAGGAAATCCAGCTGAAACATCCTATAACTACTTTTGTTCGAAATTCGTTCTGTTTTGTGGTTTTTGCGCGGAAGTTTAATGTCATATGAAATAGCTTTGCAAGCAACGAGCTGCAGTTTGATGGCCAGGGGGCGCATGGGTCGTTTCTTGTTTCTTTCCCAATTGCCTTTTATCTCGCCGTCAACCACGCCTCGCGTCAAGCTGCGTTTAATTGCACCTATTATTGCTCGACCGGTGACACAGACTCGGTTTTCGCAATGACAGACGCGGTAGACCCCGACAAGGCGAAGAAAAAGTTGGTCCACGCCGGAATTCCTAAGGCGGAATGCCTGGTAAGTCTGGTCGCACGTGAGTTGCGCCGGCGAGCTCTCTGACATCGGTGTTGTGTGACGTAGCAAACTGTACTGCCGAGTGTTGTGAGTGTGCAATACGTTTCAGGACGATATGGAGGAATTCATGGCGAGAGAAGAGAACCAAACCATAGACGCGGCTCTTAGAAACCTCGACGAGCAGCACAGTAAATACAAGTTCATGGAGTTAAATCTACTCCAGAAGAAACAAAGGTGGGAGCTCCGCTCTGTTTCTTTTCTTTTTATACCTGACTGCTACACCGCAGAATTAATCGATGCTTGCTATTACCTTTCGTTCCTAGAAACATATACAGACGGCAAGGTTCTGTATCAAACTGCGCATGTGCGTGCAATATGTTTCAGGTTAAAGACCCAGATCCCAGAAATCAAAACGGCGCTGGAGATTGTCAAACTGCTTATAACGAAAAGGGTATGGTGCTTAAACTTTTGTACGTCCGTTTATTAAATTTTCAAATGCATAAATGAAATGAAATGAATGTTTCGGCTGGCACCAGTGCGTGCTGCATATATCAGTTGTTGCTGGCTGTTTAATAATTTGCGCAGTGTAGTGCACAACCCACGACGTAACAAAACCAGTGAGATTGTTGTGTGTATCAGGAAAGCCGTGCTAATGTGCGTTTAATGTACTAGCTACAAGTCGTACTGCTGGCTGCACAAAGTGTCTTGTCGATGTGAATTGAAGTACATGGCAATTTGATGGCCTGGGACAAAATCGCTAGAAAAAAGAATGGCGTTTGTTGAAATTAATGTCGATTATCATTGATAACGTATCCTGAAGACGAAGGTGCGTTTGTGCATCGACTCTAGAAACGTGTGTAATATTACCTAACAGGGACCCTGTTACCACATGCATCAATTTTAAGAAAGCATTTCGAAGAGTTATAATTTGTAGGAATGTTTTATTGGCCTGCCCGAACTTGTGTGAAGGTCTCTGTGGTTGTCCCCATTCCGAATGACTGCGTGAATAGCTTGTACAATACATGTGCCAGTTGGGCGTTTTGTTTACTATAATTTAATTTCTAAGCAGTCAACTAACTTTGTTGGTGATTGTCCTCAGGATGCCTCCGAAGACATGGAGACAAAGTTCATGATGTGTGAACAAGTTTACTCCAAGGCTGTCATACCTCCGACCGAACGAGTCTGCCTTTGGCTTGGCGTAAGAGTTTTGCATATTTTTTTTAGTGTTTCTACACACTGTCGTGGCTTTGGTGAAAGCCCTAGCGTGTGATTAGTACTAGTATTTACGGTACATGAACACCCCACGGCAATGCGGTTGTGCATGTGTGGCTGTGTTGAGAGGGTTGGAGTTGGCCTTACAATCAGTTTTTTTATCTTTGCGGACCAGGTTTTTGCAAATCACTCGCACACAAACATGTTGAGTTGTGGACTTCACTGAAAGTCTTACAGTAGAATCTTGGTAGTACAAACTCGGCTGACACGAAATTCAGCCCGATACGATTTTGTAAAGTTTCTCAATTGAATTGTGTGTAATGGGGCCTAATTCAGATGATTGAAACACATTTCCGTGTCGTTTTGGGTGATACAAACTTCGGCACCAAAACTGTCAAGCGACGGCAAAATGTAGTGTGTAACAGAAGTTTCAGAGGTACACGTGCAGCCAGTGTACAAACTGTCAGATCCATGGTGGTTATAATTTCCCAGAAGCACTGTGTACAAACTCGCTGTCACCGTCAATGCGATCATGTGTGGCGATGATGAAACTGCGACTGTACACATGCATATAATGGACTAGAAGGGGGAGGTGCCATCATGGCAGCTCATTGATGATACTGCTCTGCTTGCCTGCGAACACTTAGCTGCCTATTGTGTTTCTGTGGTCATTTTTTCAAAGCATGGTTTGTTCTATTGTCAATATTGGCTCGGACAACAAATAATGTTGGTCAAGTAAAAAGTGCCCTCACACCACGGGCCTCGGTAGAAAGTGGTAAAGGGACACTGCAAACAGCATAGCTTTCTTATGTTCAGACTCTAAAGTGCTGTGGGGAAAAATGCCCATCATGTTTTCGTGAAGAGCCCAGGCTCGTTTCGTTTTTTTCTCTCTCTACTTTTCCTATCTGTTCTACTTCTTGGCACACTTGTAGTGGCAGGAGCACACATTTAATACTGTATTTTCAGTGCGTATAGCCATCACCTGCACATAATTCGCACCCCCACTTTTTAGATCACCGAGAAAGAAAAATTCATGCGTATTGCCTGCACGTTTTATATACAGAAAAGGGTGCTCAGAAGCTACTGCTCAAGCAGTAGAGAGCCCTTGTCGCTTCATAAAGCGGTGCAGCCATCCGTGACTTGCACGGAATCGGGATATTGGCCTAGCTCCCTCGACTATAGTCGCCACGCTTCCACTTGTGCCATCTCGGTCGATACGGCGTGACCCCTGCTTCTCACATCTTCGATTGACTTTACTAGCTGCATCTCTGGCTCAGGATAGGCGCCGGTTTTTGGTGGTGCGCAGCTTGTAGGCTTTCTTCTTTCTCCACTGGCGCATGCAGGACTCGTCCACATCGCCCCGCCGCGGTGGTCTAGTGGCTAAGGTACTTAGCTGCTGACTTGCAGGTCGCGGGATCGAATCCCAGCTGCGGCGGCTGCATTTTTGATGGAGGTGGAAATGCTGTTGGCCTGTATGCTCTCATTTGGGTGCATGTGAAAGAACCCCAGGTGGTCGAAATTTCTGGAGCCCCTCACTACGGCGTCTCTCATCATATGGCGGTTTTGGGACGTTGAGTCCCACATATCTATCTACTCGTCCACATCGGGCCCTCTACCGACTGCGCGGTTCCCGAATTGCCCGGCAACCACGATGATCTTAAGCTTTTGGTGTGCGGTGAAGGACTGCTAGATAGTGACAGAGCAGATCGAGTTAGGCTTGGCGAACGAGTCGATATGTGGAGAACTAGTGATATCAGCGAGGTAGAAAGAGATCGCACTCAGAGACAACTTTTATTGACAGCACCGTGGAAGCAGCAGAAATGAAATGAAAAGTAGTACTTAAATTTACTGATATACTGATATCTCATTTGCCTTGCTGAAATAAATACTGCTCTATTTATTATGAAACTCAAACGGTTTTGGGAAGTCATTGGTAAGATACAGGTATTGTTCACACTGAAAAAGTGCCTTCCTTTTCTTTCTATTTCTTAGACAGCATCACCTTTTCGGCAAGCCCTTTTCCAAGGTAAACATGGCGTCCATGGTGTAGGGGCACGTGGAAAGTGGTGGAGGATCACTGTGCGGCTGCAAACATTCAAAAACATACCTGTAATGTGACAGTGAGGTTCACAATGAACTACCGAATTGTCTTTTGCCAAATGTTTCTCTAAATGCTGCAATGATGCAAGGAAGCAAAATCAAAGTTGGCCGTAAGCGGCCATACAACTTGCAAAGCAACACAAATTTTTTGTGTTGCTCTGCCTCTGCAGCCTTTGCTACACTGTGAAAAAGCTTCACAGCCCAACAGGCATTGCTGTGAAGCAGCACTATGGGAAAAACGCCACATGTTATTCACACCCCACTTGGCCACGGAAATTTTCGGGGTTTTAGTGCGGGTTATACGCACAAACATATGGTATTATATGAAGAACTAAAGCTTCGTGGCACCTTTGGGTACTTATTATGGTTGGTCTGGACATGTGCACAAAACTCTATATTGGCTGTAGATGATCCAAGGAGCGCTTGTTACACAACATGTATGTTTGACTTCTCAGACTCCTTTGAAACGCAGCCCTTGTGAAAGGAAAGGTTTCATTATTTCCAGTCATGTGCACACTGTGTGATCCGTGCGCCATTCTTGCTTGTTTTTCATGTTCAAACAAAGCGAGGGGTCCTTTAAGTGCTAAGCATGATGAGATTAAAGGGCGACAACTGATTTTTTTTCGACCCAGTTTTTTCTGACGCGACCAAAAGCTTACCCGTCGCAGTGTTCGCAGCTGCAGTGGTTACTCCCAAAAGCCCGTAGTTATTTTATAAGTAGTATTTTTTTATTGTAAAGGCTCTGAATACCATTGTGCTTTTTTTGTCCAGCAATGCTGAGAATTGATGGCATTGCCAGTAGCCCTTCTAGCTACTTGTGCATGCTGTCATTGTTCTGCATTTGCAGGAGTTCCTGTAACTATGCTTAACCACATTTATTCTGAGCCTTACAACAATTTTTTTAAAAATAACAAGCCATTACAATGAAACAATGTGGCTTTATACAGATTCCCTGTATATGTACCGTGTTGCATGTGCCTGCACTCAAGGTACATGCGCCTGTATTGTGGATGGCCCGTCCCATCGTCGTTACTCTCTCGACGCATGAGCCAAGTCGAGTAACCAAAAATGTCACTGGACGTCATTTCTGAGACAACGTGTAGGTAAAAAAACCACGTCGCTCCAAATCTTAGCGACCTGAAAACTGCATGCACAGTTTCATGAGCACGTAGAAAAGCTGCTCAAGACACGCTGACGAGCATGGGCTCATTACGTCATGCGAAGGCAGCGCCTCTTTATTGTGCGCAACTAACGCAGGCTTGTAAGTACATTTTTATGGAGTAATATCTTTTACTATAAAGAAGCAATATTTGAAAACTAACATATCTACATATTTACAGGTGTGTTCAAACCAAACTTGGTGTGCAGACGCGCCTTTAGATCTGGACAGTGCCGAAACAAAGACCAGAGAGAGAGCACCCAGCTCACATGAAGTGCTCCTTTTGTATTCCCCGGTTCGTGTAAGCGCTTCTCGTCAAACGCCGGCTGCATGTGCCAGCGACGTCGTACGCGCTTCCTGCAGCCACCGCTCGCGTTCCTGCAGGACAGGAAACGCGTTGGAACGGTACGCCGATGAGCGTCTCTTGCGGGCCGAATCCTTGAATTGCTAGTCATAACAGCCCGTCCACCGCCCGGAGAGGTCACGTAAGGGCTGCAGTGTCACTGCTCCCTGAAGTGGCTGTTGTACGCCTCCTTGGGCATCACACTCGCTATCCACCACAACCCAGAGACGCACACCACACAGCAGGTCTCGCGCTAGGCACACCCTAGCATCGCAACCACTTGTAGCGCACAACAGACGCTTCGTCACAGCAGGCAACGTCCACAGCTGCAGAGACTGGGCACCACTGCTTGGTTGTTCTCTGGTCGGCCATGGCATGAAGTGACACACTCAACCCAATACCAGAACCCTCAGCTCTTCCGAGAATCGCCAGGTGTCAACTTACTTCGAGGCTTCTTCCTTAACTTTCTGCATAACGGAAGCTTACACTGTAGTGGTGACCAGTTAACTTGACGCTTTAGAGATTGCATCCCAATTCTTGCGAGAGAAACCTTTCACATGCTCAAGAGACCCTAGATAGGGATCCTTGAAACAATTTCTTTGCCACGCATGTCTCAAAACTAGCGCCAAACCACTCGGACGCCCCAAGAATTTTTCCTGCACGTTGGAGCAAAGGAAAGGGTGATATAGCCACGACCAGTGGCCACAAAACAATGATCGCTTTATTCTCGAGCGCATGCATTTATAGCCAGATGTGACGTCATACATGCGGCGATATCTGCGCGGCAGCATGCGGTGCAGGTTATCACATTCCTTCCCTCTCACATTTTGTAAGTTTATTTTGCTAGGTCTTTGCGCTAGAAACGATCCGGTGGTTTGCGGGTTCGTGTGCTGCGCCATAACGGTTGGCTTTCCGCTGACGGTGAAGCTGACCGTGCCTCCGTTTGTGACGTCGAAGCTGCTAGCTCTGTCGGGCAGTTCACATTGACAGGCGGTATAGGCTGTTGAACAGGAGGCGTCAGATTAGTAGCCGCCTGTTTATCTGGAACGGACATTCTGGCTGAGTTTCCTGCGGCCGACGATTTCTCCTCTGTGACTCAGCTGTGCGGCGTTAAAGGGTGTTCGAGTCCGGACTTGGGATTCAAGGCTTGGTGTCGGGTCCGCATGGCGCGGTCGCATGTGGTCGGCATGCGTTAGCCGAAGTTGTTCGCGCACTTCATCACGTATGTCGCAGCACTCACAACCTGATGCACCACACCTTCCTCCCACGAGGAAGGTGTGGTGCATCTTCTTCTGCTACTTTGTGTGCATCGATCTCGAAAAGTCTGGTTTCAACAATGCAAGTTTTGTTCGTGGTTGTCGCTTAAAAAAAGCTCGGCGGGTGT